TGGTTCGCCCAGTGGTGGAAGGGGATATGGCGGCCGCGGTGGTGGTGGAGGTGGCGGAGCTTGTTACAATTGTGGGGAAGAAGGGCATTTTGCAAGGGATTGCCTTAATGAACAGAAATGATAATGTGGGTATTTTTTCTATTTTGAAAAAAAAATTATTTCCTTCAATGGTGATTATTTTCTATTAGTGCATTGGATTGCCATACAGTTTCTTCTTGCTTGGTTTGCATTGTTTTGAGCAATGACATGATGAGCAGAGAATCTGAAGGTCTTTTCTCACCATTTTTTATTTATTTTTTCTTTCTTTCCACTAAGTAGTTCATAGTTTTGCCTACTTTGGTGTATATTTGGCTTCATAATGTGAGTAATTATTTTGGTTGATCATTGTCTTTGACCTTTACAATTTTTTTGATATCAGATTAATGAAAAGCTATATTCATTATTTATGTTATCTCCAGAGTTCTCTTTCTTGGTTCGATTACACCAATTGTATGAATCCTTACATTTTTTTATATGAAATTAATGGGAATCTTGGGATGAAGATTTGTAGGCATTGATAAACTTTGGAATGTTGAACCAAAAAAAAAGGATAGGAAGCCCACTTGATATGTTTGTTCTTTTGGAATTATGTGATCACAAATGTGATGGTCCTGACCTATCTTCAAAGTGATATGAGCCAATTTCGACTTCTCAGTTTTGTAGCTTTCAAGTAAGGATAGAATAATCTTTATCTGAAAGGACTGCAATATTATTGTGGATGCCTATTTTTTTGATGAGTGTGTCATATAGTAAATTATCTGGCAATTTGGCAAAGTCAAGTCGGTACAAAAACCATATCTAGATTTTCTCTTCTCTGTCATTATACGAATAGGATAAAATCACTGTCACCATGCGAACGTTGAATCGCGAATAGGATGAAATCACTGTCACCACGCGAACGTTGAATTGTGAATATACGTAACATACACAAACATACTACTTAACTATGTTCTTTCATTTGTTACGGCTACTTTTCTTTTACTAAAGAATAAGAGCCAAGCCACAGATATCTTGTGGGGCTTGATTTCTTACATACCTTATCTTTGCCTTGCTCTTTTTATTTTTTATTTATTTATTTTTTTTACGATATATAATTATGGGTCCTTGTTTTGTGATCAAGATTTATTGTTGCCTCACACTACCTGATAGGCACTTGACCTCGCTTTGATTTGATCTTAATTGTCCTTTTCAAGTTTGCATTATTTATCTTGCCCGTGATTGTCATTTGTCACTGTCCCTGCTTTCCTACTTATCTTTCCCTCATCTATTTTTTGAAAACAATTTGTTGTTTATAATGATTTAATGAAGCAATCGAGAGCATGGTTATTAGAATTTCAATCCGAATTGTAAGATCTTACGATTCTACCATTTCAGTTGGGCCAAGCGATTCAAATCACATTAAGATCCTAAATTTAGTAAGATCTTAAAGTAATTGCGATCCAAATCATAAAATGTGTATATCTATATAAAAAATTTGACTATAAACTTATTTTTCAAATGTCTCCTATAATTTATGTTAACATAGAATTTACATTATATCAAATTTATCTTTGATTCTTTAATTTTTTTTAAAATTATGTAACAAAGATTATTATTATCAATAATTTTTTATTTTATTTTGCATTAAAAATAGGATCTTACTATTCTCAATCTGATTTACGATCTAATCAACGTGTCCCTCCCAACAATTTTACTTATGATTCCGATTTTAACAACCTTGATCAAGAGTTGATATTTTTTACCTGAGTAAGAGGGCATGAGATGTGTTTGTATTGGCTGGACCTAATCCACACCATCCTATTCCTGTTGGAGTAAAGATTTCTCCAAATTTGATATTCATTATGCTGAAACAATTTAAAGGAGAATAGTGGTGATTAAATTTAAGTTATTTAGTTTATTTGATTTAATTTGTTTTTTTTTATTGAGAAGTAAAAATTTCGCTACTTGATAAACAGCTCCCAATCGTGTTTGATTATTTCTGTCATGTTGATTTATATTGCTTTTTGCCCAACTATGATATGTAGCAGTTGCTAACGTTAGCGTTTTGAATGTTTGCTGCAAAATAATCACCTTTCAGATGTCGTATGTCTCATAGTTTTGCTGGATTTTTCAATAGAGTATCATATTCTTGCATTTAGTGTTTTTGGCATTAATGTAACGTTATTTTTTATGCTGGGGTCATGAATCGACCTCTACGCTTCATCCCTGCTGCATAGACTTGATCCCCGTGTGCTAGAGGAAGGACCAGAAAGTGTCGCCATTCCACCATGCATTGCATAATTGCATAGACAACATGTAGTACTATCAGAGCCCCCACTATGCATTGCATAATTGGCTGGTGTATCCTTTTGTTTTCATATTGCCTTTGCATAAGAGCCAGATTATGAAACCATTTTTTGGGATATTCTGACAAAACTGACAGTTTTTTTCCGTGCACAATGTGAGGTTGTCATTGTCCCCCAGTAGTAGTTGATGGTACCGTTTGTGATTTGTTCACCTTCTGAAAATTTTGTTCATTGTTGGAGTAATCTTGACAACCATATGCTGAAAGAGAAAGGGCATCCCGTCAGTCGATGTGTGTACAAATTGACCCGAAAACACGGTTAAAAAAAGAAGAAAGAAGCAAAATCTAGGATAAAATTGTGAAACTGTGGTAGAGGTAGGTTTGAGTTCTCGCATACCTTTTTTTTTCCATGAAATATAACCATAACAAGGTCATGACTGAAATTCAGTTGTGCCTTTCTTGCTTGTTATCTGAACGCCATTTTTATTTATTTTTTGGGTTTGGTTAGAGAGTTAGTAAGTTATATTACAATAACAATAATGATTTAGACCACTAAAAAATACATCACTAATAGCACTAATACATTGGGAATGGCAAAAAAAATAATAAAAAAATAAAAACAAGGCATAGAAAGTGGACGGGACCCACTGCCACATCATTAGTGCTTCCTTTAGTGATCCCCATTTAGTGCTCTCAAGTATTTTTCTTACAATAATAGGGGCACAATTGCTTCATCGACTCAAATCTTAAACCTCTAATCTTCTCACTATCCCAAAAAATTGTCACAAAGAGCAGCTACATAGATCAGTTAATCAGTTGCCCTGTCCTCATCTCCATGCTTCATTGGTAAAATAATAAAAAAATAAAAACAAGGCATAAAAAGTGGACGGGACCCACTGCCACATCATTAGTGCTTCCTTTAGTGATCCCCATTTAGTGCTCTCAACTATTTTTCTTACAATAATAGGGGCACAATTGCTTCATCGACTCAAATCTTAAACCTCTAATCTTCTCACTATCCCAAAAAATTGTCACAAAGAGCAGCTACATAGATCAGTTAATCAGTTGCCCTGTCCTCATCTCCATGCTTCATTGGTACTTCTCCTTAGCTTTACATTTTATTATGTCTGAAATAAGCGGGCCTAAAGTTGATGCTTGTGTAATGAGAGGGCATATAGAGATGCTTTTGTGTCAAGTAAGCCATGTCAAGTTAATACTTTACCAACTTCACACTATTCTCTTCATATCTGGTGGATTAAAAATATTCCCCTAAATTTGGCTCCTATTGTGGTGAAATATAGTCAATTGGTCAATAGTGATGCTCAACTTCAAAGATTTATTAAATCAACTAACGTAAGATTAGAATTCATGCACAATGCACCTCACTAAATAGGACAAGAGTTAGAGTCTTGTCATAAACAAAATTCAACCTCCCCACTGTAGCCTGTAAAATACATACATATATGTATATATATATAGCTCTTGAAAGACAGACTTTAATGATTTCAAAAAGAATAATGTTTGAAAGCTCGAAAATCCTTCCCCCCTAATGCCCAAAACGACGTCGTTTTGGACATTAGGCTTTTTTTTTTTTTTTTCTTTTTCTTCTTCCATTTTCAGTCTGCAGAGAAAGAGGAAGAGGGAGAGAAAGAGAAGAGAGAAAGAGGAGAGGAGGAGAGAGGGAGAAAGAGAGAAGAGAGGAGAGGAGGAGAGAGGGAGAAAGAGAGAGGAGAGGAGAGGAGAGGAGAGAAGCAGCTCCGCCGCCAATCGTCCCCTCCTGTGCCTCCGTCGCAGCAGCTCCGACGTCGCAGCCCCGCCGCAGCTCGTCACAGCCTCCGACCGCCGTCGCCCCGCCTCGGCAGTAGCAGCTCCAGCTCCGACCGCCTCTCCGCCTCCGCCTCCGCCCCCCCGCCTCTGCCTCCTCCTCCCCCGAATATTATGCCCCCTCCAGTCCCTCCTCCTCCTCCTCCTCCCTCTCCCTCCTTCCTCCTCCTCCTCCTCCTCCTCCTCCTTTCTTCCTTCTTCTTCTTCTTCTTCTTCTTCTTCTTCGTTCGTTCTTCTGATCTGAAAAAAAAAATAATAATAAAATAAAAGAAGAAAAATGGCATCTTTTTTTATTAGGAGGATTCGAGCTACGTAGCTTTCGAGCTACCTAGCACTGCTGTTTCAAAAAACTTTAATTATTCTAAAATTGCTCTTGATGCATGAGAAAATGACCGTATATGTTTTTTCATAGATAGCCGTGCTTAAAATATCTGTAATATGCTCATTTGTTTTATTGAAGGTATGCATCATGAATAGGGAATTTTTTTTGACACTGCACCTGTTATATGAATTGGAAACAAAATTAGTGGGTGGGGATTGGTTAATTCTTTGCACAAACCTAAGCCTGAGTCCAAGTTTAACTTAAAGAATTTCTTTTTTTTAATAATAGTTTTTGTTATGGCACGGATTGTTCAAATTCAAATATAAAAAATTTATCTTTGATTTTTATTAGGCTCTTTTTTTTTTTCCTAATTTTTTATGGTGAGTAAAAAGTCATGCATTTTATAGTGAGAAAAGTTATGCCATTTTATAGTTAATTTTATGAATTTTTGTAATATAATTATGAAAAAATATATCATTTGCATTTTTTTGGGGTGTGTGATTAGGCTATGCTTGGATGTTGGGACGGATTGTTCAAATTCAAATATAAAAAATTTATCTTTGATTTTTATTAGGCTCTTTTTTTTTGCCCTAATTTTTTATGGTGAGTAAAAAGTCATGCATTTTATAGTGAGAAAAGTTATGCCATTTTATAGTTAATTTTATGAATTTTTGTAATATAATTATGAAAAAATATGTCATTTGCATTTTTTGGGGGTGTGTATTAGTTTTCACTCAACCATTGTATGAATAGTAATGGAAGATGACAAATTGAAACATTGACATGTTTGATTACATGGTTTGAGGAAAGGGGATTTCTTAGTTGGGAGGGATGCTTCTGTGCTTACCTGTGTGTGAAGGGAGAGAGAGAGAGTGGTATTTGGAAGATAATAGATTCCTATGTGGGTTGATTTTTTAATTTTTTTTTTTTAATTTTTTGACTATTTTAGGCCAAGGTTAAAAAGTCTCGTTTAATATAAGCTTTTATGACTTTTGTGAGAAAAAAAATAAAATGATTATAATTTGGATGTGACATTTTGTCTTATTGGGTGAAAAAATTTATTTTATCTTTTTGTAACTATTTTAATCAAAAAATTTCATTTTAACTTACGCCAAAGGAAAGGAAAGGAATATGCTCATTTGATGATTTTAACTTTTCTGCTTTAATAAAGTCGTTTTTAATTTTTGTAAGTTATTCTCCACTTCTTCTTCTTTTTAATAATTATATATATAGGGTCCAGATTGACTCCAATTCAGATTTAGGATAGTCTGGTCTAGTTTGACAGATACTATGTATTCAGATCATTTTTTTTTGAAAAAAAAAATAGATGGCCACAAAATTAACGGTTTATAAAAAAGTGATCCGAATACATAGTATCCGTTATCCAATTGACGTAATTTTTTACAAGAATAATATACTCAATAAATTTTAAAATATGAACTGTTTAGATTATCAAAAAGAAACTTAAAAATAAACCTAATAGACCGAACTAAACCCGCTAGTCTTGGATTGGAAGCAAGCCCCAGCCCCTATATATATAAGAAAAGAATAGATAAGAAAAGCAACTTGAGTTCAGATATTTTAGGTATTTGATATTAACCACTTCTTTTTGTTCTCTATTAGTTTTTACTTATTTCTGGTTTAATGGTTTTAGGATGTAAAATTTATGTCGTCATTGTCTGTGCTTTATTATTTAATGTGGCATTTTATATGAGACTAAGGCTTACTTTGAAAAGTGAGTTAAAAATCATTTCTCAATTTTTAATTCACTTTTCCCTCATAAAAAAAAAGAGAGCTGTTTAAGTGTGCAACCCCCTTAAGGTTGCACACCATATGCAACCCAATTGTTAGCCGTTAGATTGTAATAATTGATCAAGACCATTGAATTGTTTAATCATGAAAAAATTGAAACCGAGGCAACCGGTTAATGTTGTCATTTGCAGGATTGCATCCCACTCACTCTCTGTATTTCGTCTCTATCTCTCTCTATTCTCCTCTCTGTGTAAGGTTGAGTGAGTGTAACCCTTGATTTCCATTAACAGTGAGAAGCCCATACTGGGTTGGTTCCATTGACGAAGCTCTGTAGGAAACAGTATAACGGGCGATTTCCAACAACAATGGAACTACAAGGCTATGTTGGTTCCATTGCTGAAGTGAAGCAGTTCTCTCCAACTAGATATGAGGTATGGAGTTGTCTCCCTCTCTCGGTCTTCCTCTCTCTCTCTCTCTCTCTCTCTGGCCTTTTCACTTTAGCTATTTTTCCTCAACTAAACCCCCATCCTAACGTCAACCGCTCTACGCTTCGCTCAAACGGAAACCCCTCCATTGGCAACTAACCTTTCTCTCTCTGAAGCGAGTGTTTGTGTTTGCACAAACAACTAAACCGTGTGAAAATGTTATGTTTGTGTTTGTGTTAACATTTTTCGATCATCAAGTAATTGTTTGTACTAATGTCATGTGCAGTATGGCCCCAGCAGAAGTTAAAAGGGAAGGTGATGATTATGACATTCCAAATGAAGCAAATGACATTCGTTTGATTAATGAAAGTCGGGCGGAACCTTATCATGGTTGCGAAGTTGGTCCGAGCAATGAAGAAGCAACCAACATGAACGTTGAAGATGGCGAAGCCAATGTGAAAAAAGAAATGGTTGACGATGCTTATCGCAATGACATAGTTGGTGATGTTGAACGTGTTATTCTGGAACAGAAATTTGATTCGGTCGAACATGGAGAAGCTTTTTACAATGCGTATGCTAAAGCCAAGGGATTTAGTATATGAAAATCCAGATTTAACACAAATAAAGAGGGAAATGTTGTTAGTAGGCTGTGGTTGTGGTCAAGGGAAGGTCAGAGATTACCAAAATACTTGGACCGTGTTGCTGAGAAAAGTAGAGCTCCCAAGGCACTAACAAGAGTAGGTTGCAAAGCTCAACTTCGCATACGATACGATGCAGATGCTGGTGAAGGGAGAAAGTATGTTGTGACTCACTTCGTCGCAGACCACAACCATGAATTGGCAGAACAACACTGTGTGATGTATCTGAGGTCACATCGCAGTTTAAACAATGCTGACAAAGCTCAAGCAATGGCTATGCGCAACGTCGGTGTGAAGACTAGCCAAATCATGGACTATATGGTAAATCAATCTGGGTCTTATGAGAATGTTGGTTTCATCCGTACGGATCTGCACAACTATATTCAAGCTGAACGTAGAGCAGAAGTTGAGGATAGTGATGCGCAGGGTGCGTTGGTTTACCTATGTGCAAAACTTGATGTTGATGCACGATTTTTTTACAAGTATGATGTGTGTAACGATAACAAGTTACAAAATCTGTTCTGGGCAGATTCGAAATCGCGGGCCGACTACGCAAAGTTTAGTGATATGTTGATATTTGACTCAAGTTACAGAACCAATGCATACAAGAAACCTTTTGTCATGTTGGCTAGTGTGACTAGCCACTTTAGGCCCACGATATTTGTATGTGTTTTGCTAGCTAATGAGACAATTGATACATACACATGGGTTTTGGAAACATTTATAGAGGCGATGGGTAATAAAGCACCTGTGTCCGTACTGACAGATGGGGATAAGGCGATGCGAGAGGCAATCAGAAGAGTATTTCTAGATGCAAGACATCGATTATGTAATTGGCATCTTGGAAAAAATGCTGTTTCAAGTGTTCACAAAAGTGGCTTTGCACATACTTTCAAGTAGTGCATGGACATGAAAACGGATGAGACAAAGTTTGAGCATGGCTGGACGACAATGGTTGAAAAATTTGGACTTCAAACCAATAGTTGGGTGTTGGAGACATATGAAAAGCGTCATATGTGGGCCGAGGCATATATGCATGGACATTTCTTTGCTGAGATGAAGAGCACTCAGCGCTCGGAGAGTGTGAATGCTTATTTCAATGCCTTCCTCCAACACAAATTGAAGCTATATGAATTTGTTAGGCACTATGATCGGGCTTTTGCAAGGATAAGGTATAACGAGGCTGGAGATGATGCTGAAACAAATAACACTTTTCCGGTATTGATTACTCCATTGTGAGATATAGAGAGACATGGAGCTGAGCTATTCACCCGAAATATATTTAGAATGTTCCGTGATGAAATCTTAGAAAA